AACTAATTTGGCTGAACAAGAGTTAGCTTATAAATTATGAAACATTATTTACCCCATGATAATTAAGTAAAATTTATCAACTATTAAAAAATAATAAATAAATAAAATAAAAAGAAAGGTGTTTTAAAAACTTTATTTAGAAATAAATTTCAAATTTACAAAAAAATGCATAACAACCCCCCCAAAAATGTCATGCTTTTATTCATATTTGTCCATTGTTAATTTTGACTCATTTGTTTGAATGTTCTCCCTTCTTGTCCCTCACTGTCCCACCCTATTGCACTTTTCTTTCTACACATATACATACCCACACAATTTTAGCCAGCATGATAGTGCATGCCTGTAATCCCAGCACTTGAAAGGCTGAGGCAGGATTGCCATGAATTCAAGACCATCCTGGCCTACATAGTGAGTTCAGGGTTCAGCCAGGACTACACAGTGAGACCTTGTCTCAAAAACAACTACGACAACGAAAAACTGCACACAACTTTTTCCTAAGCCATTTGAAATTATTTAAATCATGTACTTTTCCCTGATTACTTTGGTCTGTATTTTCAAAAAACAAGAATATTGTCTTAGTATAATGATAGAACAGTTATTAACCTTAAATTCAGCACTGACCAAGTACTTTCATATAAGCTAAAAAATTCCAGTTGTCAGTGAACCCAGTAAAGTCTTTTGTAGTATCCTTTCTCCTTCAGGGCAAGATCCAGTACTGGCTCACATGCTATGATTGGTTGCTGTGTGTGTTTTTCCTAAAAGGGGCCGTGATCCCTTTGCAAACTACTATTGGTGTATGTTAGTGACCTGATCATTGTTATAAGGGAAGAAACACCAACCCAGGAGTTACCTACATCGAATTGCTCTATTCAGCATTCTGATTCGTCTAAAGATCTATGATTTTGCTTGTTTAAAACTAAATTGTGGGGGCCAGGGAGATGGCTCAGTGGAATAAGCGCTTCCCTGGCAAGCGCAAGGGTCTGAGTTCAATCCCTGGTTCTGCAAAAACAAAAACAAAAACAAAAACTGTGTATTTATTAATATATAACTATACTAATTAATATGTTTAACAACTTTAGTGTAAAGCACCAATTTTTAAGGTTAAATGATCTCTGAGGTCTGTTAGTAACTGAGTTTTAGAACTATTCAGTTAATAATGAAATTGTTCCAGTTATATGAGATTCACCTATGAGGTTAAAAAGAAAAGTAGTTATTTTGTTGTTTTGTTATCTCATATGTCACTTTGTCCGAAAGTCCTGTTTATTATGAAACAAAATAAAGGCAAAAGAAACAAGATTAATTGCCTAAATCATGTAGCATTCCTATACATTTGATATGATGACCTTCTGGAAAACAAAGAAAAATGGTATGGCTGAGTTTATTAAAGCAGAAAAGAGATAAGGGAAAGATGATAAAGAGCAAAGGGACAGAGATATGTTTTTACCCTATAGACAGAAGAAGCTTTATGTTTGCTACTTACCTCTAAAACTCAAGTGCTTTTATTCATTTTTCTAGGTGGGTGCTGCTTTAAGACCAGCCTTCTCACAGGATACACCATCAGATATAATAGCAAAGGCTTGCCAGGTAAGAAGACAAATGAATCTTCCTATAGTTGTTCTCTATAAATTCATGTATAACTAGAATTTTCCTTGAGAAAAGGAGAGAAAAGTCAAATCATTTTTATTTTTATTCTGCAAATTCAGTAGTGGTGGTTTCCTCTTCGGTTCTACATGAAATAGTAACTGTTAATTATCCCTTGTTGTCATAACTAAGGACATAACTTTGACATACATAGTTCTTGTGTGATCTAGAAATGAATAGATAAATGAAAATCATAAGAGTGATAAAAAAATGAAAGATAATTGAATATATAATTAGTACCTAAAGAATAATAATGATAGGGGCTGGGGAGTTAGCTCAGTAGAGTAAGTGCTTGCCCGGCAAGCTCAAGGGCCTGAGTTCAATCCCCAGTTCCACACAAAAAAAAAAAAAAAAAAAAAAGAAGAATAATGATAATTTAGTTACTAAACATTCCTTTGACCACAGGTTATGAAAATTCTTCAAGTTTTTAAATACTAAATTATCCTAAAAAGAATCTCACAGGCAGAAATTATATTGCAAAATTAATCCGTGGACACTCTTCTCATTTTATCTTTGTTTTGTATGAGGGATCAGGGGCTGGTGGGATGGCTCAGTGGTCTGGGGCACTACTTGGAGCAAGCTTGGTGGAGCGCAGGGACCGCGGTTCAATCCCCTGGCACCACATGCCAGCCAGCCCCGCCCACTGGTGGGCTGAGCTGGCCACACACACACATAAATAAATAAATAAAATATTAAAAAAAAAAAAAAAAATGAGGGATCAAACTCAGGAGTTTGTGCTTGCCAGGCAGGCGCTTATGCTGCTGAGCTATCTCCTTGGCCCTCTCATTTTATCTTCAGAGATACTAACCAAAACACTTCCTGTACACATTTAGTAAAGTCCTCTTTTTCATATGTCTCGTCTTAAAGAATTCATGCATTAAGATCTACTTTTTCAGCAAACTAGATTGTTTACCTGCTTACCTACCAAAAGAGCAGAAGCAACTGCCTCCTTCCCAGTTCTTTGGAGTATAGAGCTATAGTCCATCATTTTTTGCTCAGAATTCACCTGTAAGCTTCATGCAACCTCTATACAACTAAGGTTTTGCTCTCTGCAATGATATGTTTGAAATTCTGACTATATGTTTGAAATCTCTGACTGAATGGTTTACTGCTTCTTTCCACTGTTAAGTATTTTCTCTGAAACTTTCTGCCCTATAAAGGCCTTCGGAGGAATAACTTTTTCTATTCACAGCAGACCAGAGAGAAGAGAACCTAGGAATAGGTGTATGGATTAGGAACAAATGTTGGGGCTAGAGTGGGTAATCTGATTTGTGATATTGATACAAACATCAAAAAGTCATTTAGAGTTGGGCATGGTAGTGTACCTAGAATTCTGTACTCAGGAGATTGAGGTAGGAGGATCATGAGTTCTCAGCCACCCTGATCTACATAGTGAAGTCCTGTCTTGAAAGACCCCCCCCCCAAAAAAAAACCCCTCCACGGTGATGCATAAATATATCATGACGATGATTCAGCACATAGATAGTATTTCAAGCAGACAAAACTTCCTGCTACAGTCCTGAAAATTAAAAAAGCAAATTGCAGTTCACCTTGTAAATGAGTAGTACAACAATTTGCTGTCACTACAGTTGCCTTAATTTCTTTATTTTATGGTTTAACTGCTTATTCTATAAGCAGTTTCTTCTTTTCCACTGGCAGGCTTATATTTAAGACCTCCTTTTATTTTGTAGGAGGAGATCTAGTAGTTTTGAAATAGATGAGGCAGTAGTGTGCAAGAAAAAAAAAAAAAAAAAAAGGAGTTGACTTACATGGTATCCCAGCCTGTTTACAGGAATAACAGCACTTTGAGTCCTTAAAGTCATAGTAACTCAAGATACTGCAGAGCAAACCCTCAAATGTGACTCAGTCAGGGACGTTAATCAATGGGTTAGTAGAAACTAATTCAAAAGCCAAGTGTGGTGGCATACACTTGTAATCCCAGCCCTTGAGAGGCAGAAGGAAGATGATTGCCATAAGTCTGAGACCAGGCTGGGTCACATGGTAAGTTCAAGGCTTATACTATGTAGCAAGACCCTGTCTCCCAAACAAAAACAAAGCAAAACAAAACAAAAAATCATTTAAAGCAGGTTTAGAATTATAATTTCAGTTTAAAATTTATAAATGTATATTTATTCACCAGTCTTTTAATGTGGGGCTGAGATCTTTTCTTTGAATATGATTTTGCCGAGTCAGTGCCACTTGTTTTCACAAACCAAATCTATAATACATTATCTACAGTTTCTAGTTATTGGTTCTGTGAATTAGAGAAAGTCCTTAGATTTTTTTTCCTTCCCCCCTCATCCTTAGATTTTTGCAAGGAACAGATAGAGCTAATTTCTCAGTCATTACAGTTTTTCCAACTTTCAGTTGTTTTTTTTACCATATTTTATACAACTTTTCTCAGACTTAATGTCTTCTCATTTTAAATTTATATCTTACTATCCATCCTTAATTGCTATCTGTATGTCCTTAATTGATAACAGTTTTAAAATTCCTTATTTTATTAAGTTTAGTATTCAATTCTTTGAAAATAAGATTTTAAGAGTAAAAATTTATGTATACAGTGTTCTTTTTTTTGGGAAGAACTGGGAATTGTACTCAGGTCCTTGAGCTTGCCAAGCAGGTGCTTATTCTACTGAGCCCTCTTCCCAGCCCCAAAACAACATCATTTTTTTTTTTTTTTTTTTTGGAGGTACTGGGGATTGAACTCAGAACCTTGCATTTGCCAGGCAAGTGCTTATTCTACTGAGCTATCTCCCCAGTCCCTACAAGTATTCTTAACTTTTTTTTTTATTCTTAACTTTTAAAACTTAAATATAACACAAATCTATTAGCCATGATGTGACACCCAATGCTTTAAAAAGGGAACCTTTTTTTATAATTTATTTGGGAGCAAAATCTGAATGGCTCGTATTCATTTGGCCCTGGCGTGAAGCTGAATGAGATTTTAGTATTAGTCTCTGAGTGATTCATAGCATGTTTTATTGCAGAAGTATCTATGTGTTAACTGTGGATGCTGCCACACACTTTCTAGGTACAAACCTTAATAAGGTCCATGGATCTTGTTATCTTTAACCCAGATGTAGTGAATTATGCAATACACCTTGGCCCAAGGATTTCGGACGAGATAGTGAGGAACTGTAATTACTGTTGATGAAGCTGGTATTCAGACAAGCCAGTTCCTTCTTGAAATTCTCCTCTTGGCTCCATTATCACTGTACTTGCCTGGCTTTTTAGTTGTCTGTTTGTTTAGCTGTTTTCAAATTCTTTCTTCTTATTCTACTCGTCCCTTAAGCATAACTGTTTCTCCTGTGGTTGGCTTTAAGATTGTTTATCTATATATCTTAGGGGCTGGGAATGTAGCTGAGTGGTGTAATGCTTGCCTGGCAAACTTGAGATCTTGAGTTCAATTCCCATTACCAACAAAACTTTACTTAGTAATATTACTTTACTTATTACTATTGTGTGTAAATTTCTAAATTTATATAGTTACTTTACATTTCCTCCTGAATCCAGGCCTAAGTTTCCAACTCCCTTCTGATTAGTATTTTTTCACAAGTTCCTTGGGTTCACTTAGAACTCAGCCTTTAAAAATGTTTCGAACCAAAAATCATTGTTTCTAATCTTATCTCCACTAAACCTTCTTGTTTTCTTTTATTAGCTCTCTTAAAAAATAGTGTCACCAAGCCAGGCATGGTAGCAGATGCCTGTAATCCCAGTGATGTGGAGGCTAAGACAGGAGGATCCCTACATATCAAAGCTGCGTAGCAGACCCTGTACCAAATACTTTAAAAAAAAAAAATAGTGTCACCCTTTTTCCATTCATGCAAGTCAGAAACTTTTTTATGTATTTTGAGACAAAGTCTTGCTGTAAAGCTCAGGCTGGTCTCAAACTCTGTGTTGTCTGGGCTGGTTTTAAACTCATGGTGATTCTCTTGCCTTAGCCCCTGAAGTGCTAGGATTACAAACATGCACCATCAAGCCTGGCTACATTAGAATTTTTTTTTTTTTTTTTTAATGTATTTGGTACAGGGTTTCACTATGCAGCTTGGACTCATAGTGATCCTTCTTTTTTTAGCTTCCCCAGGGCTGGGATGGCAGGCTTGTGCCACAGTGCATCACAGTCTCTAGGTTAAAAATTTAACAGTAAAAATTTGGCAGTCTTTGATAGTTATTTTTCCAGCTGTATTCCTCCATCCCTAAAAATATATAATTGGTTTCCATACATTATAATTTCTACCTCCAAATTTTTCTCTGATGCCTCTACATTTTCATTTCTTTCCATTCTCAGATCCATTTTATCTCTATTATATGGTACTATATTGTCATATTGTAATAACTGAGTAAGTACATTGTTTATTGTCTATACAGCACTAGAATAATTTTCCTAAAGCCCCATTCTAGTAGTAACATAACTCTTTTCTGAAGCAATAGATACTCAGGATTGTTTGCAGAGTAAATCTGAATTCATTGTACATGAAGTTTAAATTGTATCATCTGTGATCTTGCATATAGAAGTTTCTATGTTTATAAACACAAACCTTCCTGCTTATCTAAACATTCCCATTTTTTCTATTAGAATTCATTATTTTGTTGTCTTTTTAGGGGTGGTATCACATTATGTAAGGTTTCCATGTGTACAGTCTATTTGTATTTTCTTACTTTAGGGGAAGGACTCAATATTTTCCCTTTTTCACTCTTTTTTTATAGCATCTAGCATAACATTGCCTGTGGTAGGCAGAAATTTCTTTGAATTGAAGAATTATTCATGACTGAATTACTTTTTTTTTTTTTTTTGACTGAATTACTTTGGATAGAAAAAAATCATTCCTGTTAATTTTTTTGTTAGATGATGGGACATTGTAATAAGTAAATACTGTTTTTGCATACAAATACAATAACATCTATGTTTGCCATTATATTTGTTACAAAAACTTAAAGCATAGCTTTAGATAATCCTTTTGATTTGTTCCTTGGTTTTATTTTGTGAATTTACCTCAAGAAATAGAATCATTTCATTCTGTTCTCTTAATGATAACTTTTTCTTTGCGGTGGGGGGGGGGGGAGTACCTTTTTGAGACAGGGTCTCATTCTGTTAAGGCTGGCCTTGAACTCACTTTGTAGTTCCAGCCTGGCTTCCAACTCTTGCTATCCTCCTGTCTCAGGCTCCCAAGTGCTGGGATTACAGGTGTGCACTATCACGCCTGACTAATGGTAACTTTGTATACACAAAAATTGTTAAATTTTAATTGTATAGGTATGCAGTACATGGATTGGAAGTGGAGTTGTCAGTGACCTCAATGATCTCCGTCGAGTACACAATCTGCTTGTTTCTTCTCTGGACAAAGTTCAAGCTGGAAAAGGATCTTCCAGTCAGCTGTATCGGGAGAGTGCCACAACTATGGAGAAACTGGCTGTCCTCAAAGCGTGGGCCGAGGTAACCACAGCCTGTTGTTGAGTACGTTCTCTGTCCATTAGAAAATGTTCTACTTCTGTTGGTAAAAAATGTTTTATTTTTTAAAAGCTGACTCTTGGTATGGAGTACTTTTCGAAAATCTGTTAATTTTTTTTTATAAAAGAACTTGTGTATTGAAGGGCTGTCATTTAATATTGATAGGGCAAGGAAAACAGAAAACTATAAACAGCAGAAATTTTATGCTAAGAATCTTTTACTCTGTTTGGATAAATTTCAAGAAACTTGCCATCATGATGTCTAGGCTACACTGGGTGTTTGTTGGTTTTTAATAGCTAGCTTTATCTCTTTTGTTCCCAGAGCACAGAGCATGTGTATACATACTCATATTCACTCTCCCCATTCCCTCTCTCTCTCCACCTCCCCCTCCCCTCTCCATCCCCTCTCCCTCCCCTCTCCATCTGCTCTCCCTCCCTTCCCTCTCCCCTCCCCCTCCCTCTCCCCTACCCCTCCTCCTCCCTCTCCCTTCTCCCTCCCCCTTCTCCCCATCCCTTCTCCTTCCCTCCTCCCCTTCCCCTCCTCCTTCCCATCTCCCTGTTTTTCTCTTTTCCCTCTCCCTCTCCCTGTTTCTCTCCCCTCCTTTCTCCTTCCCCCTGTGTAAATATGGTAAGATAGTTTTAAGTTCACTCCTTCTAAATTACTTTTGACAGTTGCTTTGAATTCCTATCGTCTTCCCTCCTGTATTTCAAATATCCAGATTCCATCCTTCACCAGCTCAGCTCAGTTCCTGTTTCCATGGTATCAGTAGGCTATGACCACTGAATAGGCCTTTGCTGATTTAAAGTTTACAGCAACAAAGGAGATACAGTTTAGATGAAGAACCTCTATGATTTTCATAGGTATAAGGATAAATTCTTTTTTCTTTCACACACACATAAAAATGGAACATGTGGTGCTCAATAAGATATCATGGAAATTGGTTTTCTCTGTGATTTTTAGACTACAAATCAAAGTGTGTTTCAAATAGAATATCTTTGAGGGAACCTCTGTTATTGTATTCTGCCATTTTTGGTTCAGGCAAGTAAAATAGCACTTTTTGCTAATATTGATAAAGTCATCATTCTTACTGATAAAATTTTAAAAGATATTTTTACTGGCTTTTTAAAATTTATGCAAGGGGCTAGGGAGATGACTCAGTGGAATAAGTGCTTCCCTGGCAAGTACAAGGGCCTGAGTTCAATCCCCGGTTCTGCCAAAAACAAACAAACAAATAAAATTAATGCAAATATCCAATTTTAGACAGAGTGTTCAGGATCTCACTACTAGATCGGACTTGTAGTGACCCACCTGTTTACAGCCTCCAGGAGCTGGAATTACAGGCACGTACCACCATGTCCAGTCTCAATTGCTGTCTCAATACGCCCTGGAGGCTGGGCCAGCACAGCAGGCTGGAGGATTGAACCCCAGCCCCTGCGCCTGCTTGCAGGTGCTTTAATCTGCTGAGCTATTTGGTTGGCCCTATTATCTCATTTTAAAGCTAATAAAATTTCTTTAATTTCCATTTATTCCATTTCCCTTTTTCTTTTCTTTTTCTTTCTTTTTTTTCTCTTTTTGAGACAGGGTCTCACTTTGCAGTTCAGACTGACCTTGAGTTCACTTTGTTCAGTGTGGTCTCAAACTTGCAGTGATACTCCTGCGTCAGCCTCACAAGTGCTTGGATTACAGGCGTGCGTCACCATGCCCTGCCTTCCCTTTTCTTGTCTTGGAAATTCAATTGTAGTTTTATTCATTTTTTAAACTCACAATTGCCCTTAAATTTTCCAACCCATTAATTTTTCCAAGTGCAGAGACCATCCTGTGTTCTGATGAACATTTAAGATTTTTATTTATTTAGTTTTCTGATCACTGGCATAATGTTCTTGATTCCCTACCTTGGCATAGTTTTGTATAAAAAGCATTAAATACTAAGCCAGAGGCCCTAGGACAAGTTCTGGCTCTACAGTTCGACTTGGTCAAGTGATTTCATCTCTCAGAACCTCAGTTTCCTTATTACAATTGAGAAATATGATCATATAAGGCAATATATGTAGCAGTGGCACTGAGTGGAAGGTAAAAATAATTGCTTTAAAGATTAGATTAGCACATCATTTAACTGAATAATTTACATTTTATTTGGAATTATTTTAGCTGTAATTCAGTACATTAGTAATTTGAACCTGAAACTCAGCCTTTAATGTCTAGGAATTCATTTCCCTGCATACTTCCTTTTCCTCAAAGTCCTATGTATTCTAGATGTCTTTACTGAAAACCTATCGTTGCTTCTACTCTTTCACTTAGAAAATGAGGCATGTTTTTCAACTCCTCAGATTGTTTACTCGAAACCTTCAGATTTATGCAAATTGGTAACTGCTTTTTTGCCTGTGTAACTTGGATGAGTTATTCACCTACCTTTTAAAGCTTGTTATCTCAGCCTTCAAGTATTATATGCATTTCATAAGATTATGGTGTCAATTAAATGAGATAATCAATGTAAAGGACTTTGTGCTGTAACTACTGCATTACACGTACATGCATAATGAATGAAGTTTTCCTCTAAGATTACTTCCCACTGACTCATTCATCAAAGTGTTTCTGAGTTCAGGCTCTGTGCCAGGTTAGCAGCTGTAAATGCAGTGAGGAACACAACAAATGTGCTACACACTCTAGGTAAGGTAAACTCTAAACCAGTATGTACAACAAAATGTAAGAAGCAGTGTTTAAGAAGACATGCAGCCTCTTGAAACGTAGTGCAGAGTTTCTTGAAGTAGGCTAGAGTCTCACAGTAGGCCTTTAGGAAGAAGTGACATTAACTTGAAATACAGAGGATGAGAGATATTCAGCATGAGTATAGGAGACTGTTCAGAACTCAGTGTTCATGTATCTCCCTCTCTTCTGGATCTTTAACCTCTTCTTTCTTTCTTTTGCCTTGGCCTGTATTCTTCTCAGACGCAGCATCCCGTATATACTGCCTCTTTTCTCTCCACCCAACATCTCAAGTCTATTGAAGGAGTTTATTGTCTGCATATACTCACTTATCCAGTTGTTTACTTCTCAGTCACCTGAAGCTTGGGTTTAGTCTCAGCATTCTATTGAGATTATTTCCACCACAAACGTATAACTTGGGCTGGTGAGATGGCTCAGTGGTCTAAAGCACCTACTTAGAACAAGCTCAGCAAAGCACAAGGGACCGCAGTTCAATCCCCCAGCACCACATGCCAGCCAGCCCCGCCCCCTGGTGGGCTGAGCTGGCCACACACACACACACACACACACAATAAATAAATATTAAAAAAAACAACAACAAACGTATAACTTATTTATCCAAAGCATTAGACAGTGTTCACTGCTTGTTTTACCTCAGTGTTTGATCATATCTTTGCTTTCCTTGGCACCTCTAACATGTTTTACTTAGTACTTGTGTTTTGTTTTTTGTAAATTTTTTTGTTTGGTGAAAAATAAACTTTCATAGCCAAGTAATAATAGGATAACAATAGTGATTACACTCTTTTCTGTTACTCGTTTTCAGTGCACTACCATGCCCAGCGGCCCTGTAGTTATTAATATATATTAATTGTACACGTTAATAGGCCTCACCTTCTTCTTTTTTTGGTTTGTTTCATTTTGTTTGTGCTTTTGAGACAGTCTGTGTAACCCAGTCTGGCCTTAAACTTATGGAGATTCTCCTGCCTCAACCTCCTGAGTGCTGGGATTGTAGGTGTGTGCCACGACACTGGCCACTGTGGCATTTCTATACATGCTTATATTATGCTTTGATCATGTCCATCCTCCCTTCTCCTACCCACTGCCGGTCCCCTTCCTAGTCCTTAATAATCCTTTTCCTACTTTCTGGTCTTTTACTTCTTTTTAATTTACACATATGTAAGAAAACCAACCTTACCCTGATACTAACCTTTTTTAAATATTGGCACTTTTCCTGCTAGCTATAGTGGCACACACCAGTAATCCCAGCAGTTGGGAGGTTGAGGCAGGAGGATCACAGTGAGTCTCAGGCCAGCCTGGGCTATATACTGAATTCAAGGTCAGCCTGAACGACATATCAAGATCCTGCCTCAAAACCCCCAAAATAAATAAATAAATACTGATACTTTCTTGTATCTACTAGCTCTTCTTACTTTATGAGCCTCATTAACAGTCATAGCTTATAGCTTTTACTTGTATATTATATAATCTTTCCCTGATTCCAATCCTATGTTTTTCATTGTTTACTAGACATGTCTACTTGGGTGACCTATACATGACACATATGTACAACGTGTCTAAGATTGTTATTTCTTTCCTTATTCATCCCCCTATAGTTTTTGGGAGTCCTATAATTTTGAAAAATCGAAACTAATTTTTCCTCTTCAACTGCATATCTCTCTTCGGATATTCAACCAGTAACTAATTCCTGTTTATTTTAGTTCATTAATATATATGAAAATCACAGTTTTGTTGTTTGGATGAAAATACCTGTGCTCAAGCTGGGTGCAGTGGCACATGTCTGTAGTCTCTGCTGCTTGTTAGACTCAGGTGGGAGGATTGTTTGAGCCCAGGAGTTTGAGGTCAGCTTGGGCAACACAGCCATACTCTGTCTCCTTTAAAAGAAAAAGAATGTCTGTGCTCACTTACTGTTGGGATCTGGACCTCGATGTCCTGCAAGGCTGCATGCAGTTTTAGATGAAAGCTTTTTTCGGAGGTAGCTGAATCTAAAGCATGTAGTAGAGCACTAAGAACATTTAAGGTCAGTGACCAAGTGATTATATTTCTGGACCTTTGTTCTTAATGGAAAAGAGGTAAGTTTACAAAAATGTTTACTTGGAACTTTGTAATACGAAGTAAACAGCTTTTATCTTTTGGTCTGATCTTTTTAGGATTTCTCAGGCTAAGTAATCAGAAGTAGACCCAAGTTTTCAAGTGTAAGGAACTTGTTATAGGTATCATGGGTCTTCTTCTGTAGAAACTATAATAACTTTGTTATGCAGATTGATATCCACATAAGAAAACCCTAACCTACATGCTAAAACTTTGTTGAAACCTGCCCCCAATACATTTGACTTTAAAATCTTTCAGTGGCACTCATTTTCCTCCTTGCCCACACAATAAAATCATCAATTACTCCCACCTTATATCCTCAGCTCAGGTCATATCAAAAACCCACAGATACTTAAAATGCCATTCAGTTGCCTATTTTTATGCTCTTGTTCTTATTCTCTCTGCCTACAATGCATTTAATTTTTGCTATGAGCAAGTGAACTTTTGTCCTTGAAAACTCTTCCCTTGCCTTTCTCATAATCCCAGGATTAAGATCCATCCAGCTTGGTTGCTCCCTGAGATTAATTCACTATAGGAACCATACCTATTCATTAGGTTTCAGACCCTATGCTTAGCCTCTGGGTGGAATGTGGTGAGGAAGATGATTAGAAACAGGTTTTAAAAGTTGTTTGTCATGGCCCATGTGTGGTAGCACATGCCTGTCATTTTAGCACTTAGGAGACTGAGGCAGGAGGATTGCCTAGAAATTGGGGCCAGCCTGGACTACATAATGAGATGCTGTCTCAAAACAACACTCAACTAAACAACTCCCCCTAAAACAACAACAACAAAAACTTCTCTATGTGTTTTTTTTACTTTGTCACTGTATTTGTCTGTCAGTTTGATAAAGCATGCTGTGTTTTTCTTTATTGCCTCAGATCCTAACAGAGTAACAAGCTCAAGACAGAATGTACCTATTAAGGTTTCATGAATGGCTGAATATAGTTAAAGTGCTTATTGAAGCTGGGTGTGGTGTTGCATGCCTATAATCTCAGCACTCAGAAGGCTGAAGCAGGAGAATTGCTACAAGTTTGAGGTCAGCCTGTGCTAATGAGTTCAGGCTCAGCCTAAATTACATAGTGAGACCCTGTCTCAAAAAAAAAAAAAAAATCCCTCAAAATTAAGTGCTTATTAAGATATATATCCTTCGGGTATCAGTATAATAACAAAATTAGGGAAAACAAGCTTAAAACCACTTAGAAATATGAATGTAATATTTTTATATTCTGAAATCCAAAGTGTTCAACAGTTCCGATACTGTTTTCTCTGCTTGAAGGGAGATATATACAGTATCTCCCTTCAAGAAGTTTATAGTGTACATGTATAGACACAGATTTCCTCGTTAGTTACAATGGAAATTACACTAACAAGGTTTTCTCTTAAATTTTTATGTAGTGCAAATTTTTCTTTTTACACTTATTTTTTCCTTTTGATTAATATGTTTTTAAGATTTATATGCACCATTTACAAAAAATAAGTATATACAAAAAACAAACAAAGAAGAATCCTTAAAATTGTTTTAGAAAAGTTGCTGTTATATTTCCGTTTGGTTCAAAAACTAGAGAGTAAGATTATGGATAATTATTTGACTAGTTAATTATACTCTTAACTATCTTTTGTAATTGCTAAATTGCTGTTATTTAAGGACTATGTAAAAGGGGATATAAAAGGATATTAATAGAAATCCTTTCTCTGGCTACCTCACTGTTTTGAGTGTTTTTTTTTGAATGCTGTCTGATTGTGTTTAATAAGTTTAGGAAAGTGGAAGTAGTAAATAGGAGGTTGTACCCCATAGCAAAAAATAAAAAAGAGAAAAAAGAAAAGGCTGCTTTGTGAAATAGAACAAAGGAAGGCAGCGAAAGCTCAGAAAAGCCTTCTGAAGGAATTTATGTGGTGGGAGCACTAGATGTATTTTTAAAAATTTCTTTCAAAACAGGTGAAGTTACTCTTTTGTAGTTAACACTAGATTACCTTTGATAATTGAGCACAATAATGACTTTAAATGTCTTTTTATCTTATTTCTTATTTTATGTCTTCTATATCTAGGTATATGTGGTTGCTATGAATATTAAAAAGGAAGCAGAGTCAAAACCAAAAAGAGGAAGTAAAGCTACTGATGATGAAGATGAGGACTTGGGTGCCCTGGGTGAGCTACCTGCGGACAGTTTAATAACGCTGGTGCAGCCCGAGCTTCCCACGCTTAGTCGCCTGTGGTTGGCAGCGCTGAAAGACTATGCCCTTTTGACTTTACCAGCCGAGTTTGCTAGTCAGCTCCCTCCAGATGGTAAGTATGGCATTTGGGATGTGGCTTTTAGGGAGTTCAAAGTAGTAATTATTACATTTAAAAAGAGGGCTGAGGAGATGACTCAGTAGAATAAGTACTTCCCTGGCAAGCGCAAAGGCCTGAGTTCAATCCCTGGTCCCGCAAAAAAAAAAAAAAATAATAATTAAAAAAATTTTTTTTTTCCATTTATGCATTTGGTACAGGTCTCACTACGCAGCTCAGACTTGTAGTGATCCTCCTGTTTTCAGCCTCCCCAGTGCAGCGATTACAGGTGTGCAGCACCACACCCAGACTCAGTCACCTGCTAAGTGCTTGCCAAAGCAGGCACTTAGTCTGCTGAGCTACCTTGCCTCTCGCTGGCCCCAAAGTAGTAATTAAGCATAATGGATTTGGTAAAGGCGACCATAAGCAGTCACAATAATAGCGCTTTAGTGTTTTGTAGACTTAAACTTTAGAACACGTTCTTTGTATTGAGTTTGTAGACCCAAGACACTACAATATGAAGCTTCTTTGTTAGTGGAACCAAAGGTGTTAGTACTGTGATGGTAATTGCTGTATGAATGCAGGTAAATGACTTTGAATAGCAAGTCATTATGCAGGATGATAAAGTAGACTTCTGTAGTGGCCAGTACATAGATGATCTTACTGTACAATTATCTGGATTCCTAACATCCTATGAAAATTGTTTATACTTTAGTTCTCTTATTGAAATTGATACAGAAATCATCATGAGCATTTTTTTGGTTTAGAAAATTTATTTTCAGTTTCTACTCAAAAGAATCCATTTGTCTCCCCATATAGTTAATAATAACAATAATGGAGTTCTTTTTCTCCTTCCTTAGTCATGATAATAAGAAGAAATCCTCAGTGTGGTTATTAGAAACAGTAGGTGGGAGGAATAGCAAAAGAGTATAAAAATAGAAAGGAGACAGAATCTTTGGTCATGATAAAAAAAAAAATAAGTGGACATAAAACAGAGGTAAATCCTGTGACAGCAGGGCTGGGAAGATAAAGCTTCTTTAGTGGCGCTAGCAGCACAGAGGAGAGGCTTAACAGCAGGCATCAGCACTCCTGGGAGATGTGAGCACTCCAGGTTAACAGCTGAGTAAAGTGGTTAGTATGTCTAGGATAAGCTCATTGGCCAGGTTGTGCTTCTGTATGAAAAAAAGTAGTTTTGAGTTTGTTGTTCATAAACAAGTGAACACTTACAATAGGAAATAATGAATAGAAAATAATTTAATTGCTTGGATTGTTTTACAGGTGGAGCGTTCTATACACCGGAGACTATTGATACAGCCAGACTTCACTATCGGAATTCCTGGGCTCCAGTTCTCCATGCAGTGGCGCTTTGGTTAAACAGCACAGGGTTTGCATGTTCAGAGTCCACAGAAGCAGCAGCAGTGTCTAGTTCACAAAAACGTTCTACAGCTGTCAGTTTAAACCAGGCATCAGGAACAGCAGCCAGTGCTAAATCCTTGCCAGAAATTAATACAGACAGAATGCACCTGATTTTAGGTAGGAGTGTAATTAGCTTCATTATAACTAGTTTCAAGATGTGTCACTTAGGAAAATTTTCGTCTTTCATGTAATGAGCTTCAAAATGTGTCACTTATGAAAATGCATGTCTTTCAAATAATGATATGGAAAAATTTTATATAGCACAATTTAGATACTGAATAATAAAATTTCCAGCTCAACTTGTAAATTAACTGAATTTCTTTTCTTTGGAAACAGGGTTTGACTGGATAGTCCAGGTTGGCCTTAAACTCATGATTCTCCTGGCTCAGCCTCTTAAGCTGGTGTTTACAAGCATGCACAACCATGCCTGTTTTTTTTTTTTTTTTTTTTTTTTCATGCCTGGTTTTAACTGAATTTTTTATTTAAAAATTAAATTGTCGGGCCAGGGATATAGCTAAATGGCACAGCACCTGCCAGGCAAGTGCAAGGTCCTAAGTTCTATTTCTGTTACGAAAAATATATATATTTAAAACTACTCTTTAAATATTTTAGCTATCATGTTCATTCACCCAGCAAATATTGAATAGTTTTCACAGAAAACCCTTAATGTGTTTTTTTAGTTCAACTAGTTTCCTTGTATTTGGTACTTAATAGGCCCCATGAAAAAATTTAATCAAATTTAAAATTGGTGTGGTAGCTCACATCTGTAATCCCAGCACTCAAGTGGTCAAGGCAGTAGGTGCTCAAATTTAAAGCCAACCTGGCTTCCATAGCAAGTTCAGGGCCAGCACAGATTACATAGCATGATGCTATTTTAAAAACAACAAACAGGGGCCATGGAGATAGCTCAGCTGTCTACGCGCCTGCTTAGGCAAGTTCAAGGACCTGCGTTTAATCCCTGATACTGCATGTTGTGCTGGCCACCAAAACCAGGTGTGGTGGTGCATGCCTGTAATCCCAGCACGGGGGAGGCTGAAACAGGGGGATCACTTTGAGTCCAAACTGTACAGCAAGACCCTGTACAGACTGGGGAATGTAGCTCTGTGGTAACGTGCTTGCCTGTCATGCAGAAAAGTCTAGGTTCAATCTCTAGTTAAAGGGGAAAATTCAAGTCCTAATTTCTGATTGCTTTCTATTTGAGTCATTTTAAAGAAAATGAAGGTACCTTGAGACCATAGTGTTAAGTGAAATAAATCTCACAGACATAGGCATAAATATTACATTCTCCCTCTTTGTCTCTCTCTCTGTCTCTGTCTCTCTCTGTCTCTCTTTCTCTCTCGGTCTCGGTCTTGGTCTGGTTTGTCTTATGACAAAACAAATAAATTAAAGAGAAAAAAAATAGTTAATAAGAAATAGGGAAATAGATCTTTTGCATAAGAAAAAGGACTAAGATGAAGGGAAGGGGAGGGGAAGAGGATGTAAGAAATACATGAAGAAGCTTTTAGTGCTGTCATATTTTCTATGGATGAAAAGGAGCACAATTGGAAGGGTATAATAACAGAATTAAGCAGTAGAGCTCACAAGTGAGAATGTGAAAAACTTCCAAAACCTTACCTACCCTATATATGTTAAGAACAGTTGTAGGGCCGGCTAAATAGCTAAGTGGATTAAAGCACCTGCAAACAAGTACAGGGGCTGGGGGTTTGATCCCCGGGGTGTACTGAGACATCAGTTAAGATTGGACATGGTGGCAGGCACCTGTAATCCCAGCTCTTGGGAGGCTGTAAGCAGGCGGATCACTATAAGTCCAATCTAGTAGTAAGATCCTGAACACCCTGTAGACCCTTCCTTAAAAAAAAAACAAACCAAAAATCAGTTGTTACACATTACATCCAATGTGCCTCTGCAGCTTGCCGTTTAAAAAAAAAAAAAGGTGTGTAGGATGGGTGTGGTGACACACATGTACTCTCAGCACTCTGAAAGACTGAGGCAGAAGGATCACAAGTTTAAGCCCAAACTGAGCAATTTAGTTAAGATCCTGTCTCAAAGTAAAAAAATAATTAAAGGGGCTAAGGATTTAGCTTAATGAGAAGGCCTTGAGTTTAATCCTCAGTACTGCAAAACAAAATAAAACAAACTTTGTATGTGTATGAAACTGTTTGGCAAACATTTAATGAAAGGGTAATTTTATAATACAAATTTATTTTTAATGTACTGTCATTTTTTTAAAGTATTAGAAGTAGGAAAGTGACATTTATGCAGTATTA